ATTTTTTTTTTTTTTTTTTTTTGTCTTTTTTGTGACTGGTAAGGGGATCGCAAACCTTGGTGTGGTGTCACCTGCACTGCACTCAGCCAGTGAGCGCACCGGTCATTCCTATATAGGATCTGAACCCGCGGCGGGAGTGTCGCTGCACTCCCAGCGCCGCACTCTCCGAGTGAGCCACAGGGTTGGCCCAATGCAGCCAATGTTGATGCAGCTCATCTTGCCCTCCTTCCCTTCACTTCATTCCACTAAGTCCTAAGTCCCATAACCAATATAACAGTATGCTAGGCTCTAAGACTTACAGAACTGCTCAGAAATAGCCTCTCTATGTTTACCAGAACAAGGGCTTACAGGGCTATTTTGCAAACTGTCTTTTATACATAAAAGGATTCGTCATGTGGGCCACCTATCCATGGAGGTTTATAACAGAAACCAGAATCTCAGATTCTAGCAAATCAGAAAAAAGTGTTTAGAATCAGCATAGGGAAACTGCCCAGGTCATGGTGACATGGTTGCCAGCAATAACCTAGGGATCAGGTTGGGACCTTCATCTCCCACTCCAGGCAGGTGCTTTTAGTTTTATCCAGGCCAGTGCCTGGAGCACATAAAGGCTGATGAAAAGCTCCAACTTGTATTCTGCTGGTTCCTGGCACTCTTGCCCCACTCTCCTGGCCTAGCTTCTGGTCCCTGTCACCCACACCATCCTGTTCTTAGTTCCTACCCTGTTCTTCCAATGTTTACAGACTTCCTGGTTTAGATTATTTTTCCCCAGAATCTTCTGCTCCCCAAAATGGTTTTAAATAATCACATGTCCTGACATCACAGTCAGAAAATGCTCCCACTTGTAAGTGCTGTAGCTTCTGCCTCATCTGACTGATTTCTGGAATGCCCCTGCATCCTGTAGATCTTGTTTTCTCAGTCCTGATCTCTTGCTGGTGATCACTACCTGAAGCTCATAACCAGGACAATGCACAGAACTACTGCTGGCAGATGCTTGGGAAGGGGCACAGTAAACAGGGCTCCTGTTGCTGACTGGAGTTAATCCATGAATCCGGTGTTGGTGATATTGGGGGCTGTTCCAATGGTATACTATGAAACTGGCTAGTGATGTAATTTTTGATGGTTCAAACACCCTGTGGATTTTGGTGTATTAATCAAGATCCCTTTGTTAGGGCTTACCAAGAATTTAGCAGCATACTCTTAGTGCCAGGCTATGAAGCCATCCAGCGACTGGTTTTAATGGATTTGGTGTACTTGGGGTGGGATGTGTGACTTGAATCAATAGGAGCATGGCATGACCAAAAGAGGGCCCCTTGTGTCATTGGTGTTCCTTCCACAAGGGTTACTCATCCATACCTTCAGTCGTACCCTTCTCAAGAGTGTCCCATGATTGTATGTTAGAGACCCAATGACAAGGGTGAGCCACCAACTTGGCCATGGCACAGAGGTTCAATTTCTGTGTTCCTTACAGAGACACAGAACACAGAAAGAGCAGAGTTTGAATCTCTGTGTAATTCACTTCTAGATCTAGTTCATTGGACATTGAACAGTTCAGGACGTAGGTACCAGTTTACTATTCCCACCCCTGCCCGATGTTCTATCCTGTTTCCATCTTCCTTACATACCTGTGGCCTCCCCTTCAGGACCCGTACGTTTTATGAAAGTTTTCAGGTTCTTGGCAAACACTCCTTTCTTGGCCATCAGAGTGCTGTAGGATCCTTTCTCCAAGACGGTGCCGTTCCCCAGAACCACAATCTCATCCACTTCGGGAAGGAAGTGAAGGCTATGTGTAACCAAGAGTCGAGTCTGCAAAGACAACATTCAGTTGTGTTGACCACCTTATGTCCACCATCTTCTCTGGCTGACTCTGAAAGGGGAACCACGTCCATTCACTCTGGGCCTTTGCTTCAAAATTGAGCCCTGACCACTCAGCCTATTTTACTTCATCTTTCTTTCACTTCTTCTTAAGACTTGACCCCATGTGTGAAATGAGACTCCTGTCATCATGGATCTGCTCAGTTATTTTTCTGTAGTAACAATGAGGTTTGCTCTACACACATTCTCCTGCACGTTCCCACGTAGCCAAAGGTTGTGCTTAGGAATGTCAGTGAGTATCAGTATAACTGATGCATCCAAAACTAACTAAATAGCTGACAAACTGCCCCTTTCACTTACCAGGTAACCAACTGAACTAACAAGAACCGCTCACATTTTTCAGCATGTTAGAGACACTGGACGGCAGAAAACTTTATCTTTATAGTCCAGGCCCTCCCTGGTGTTGAAGACTTGGCATCCCTTACACTCCCGTCTATCAACTATTGAGATAATAACTCCACTCAAAGAAAGACAAACACTTATGCTGAGGTTTAGTTAGAGGGAATGGGGTTGAGATGGGCTGTGGAAGAGAAAACCTAAGCCCACGGCCCCTGCTCTCTACTTCACAGCCCACAGAGATTAGGTCCCTCTCCTCTGTAACATTGAGGGGAAGCTCATCCCTTAAGTCTCATCTCACAGCCAGCTCTGTGGTGCTTTACCTGAGTCCCCATGAAGACTTGAGTATTTCTCCAGTATTTCCACTATAGTTTGTACAGATTACCATCAAAACAACTCTTGTATTATAATATTATTGTTTGCTTTTGTGTGTCTTCCCATTAGATTTTAAGTTATTGAGAGAGGACCACAGCTTTCCGTCTATGCATGCCTAGCCTTTGTAACAAAGTTGGCACAGGACGGGTATTTATTTATGACTGAATAAAACCAAGAAGGCGTTAAGGATGGAAGACAGGACCAGGAATAGGAGGGGGAGTGAGTTCCTACTGTCCTATTGATGAAAAACAGAAGCAAAGGGCCTCAGTGCAATAGCAGCCAGGGTCTCAACAACTCCACCTTCCTCTAATGAGCACCATTCAAGAAATCTTGAAGGGAACAGGCCAAATACACCTGGAGTCTCACTGTCCACTGCTAAAGGAAACACTGCTATTGACAGGAGGCTCTCTCACCTCCTTTTCCAATTCATCTCACTGTGTCAGGACAAATGTGCCAACTTGCACATGATAAGAAAAGCCTAGTCTCCACCTGTGACCAGCTCTAGTGTCTTGCTCTGGCCACTTTACTTGGACTATCTGACAGGGGCATTGTAAGAATCAAATGAGACCATGCAGTTAACATGCTTAGCACAGGCCCAGGACACTGAATACTCAATAAGTGTCGGTATCATCTCTATGTTCAGGTTGAGTGCAGGCATAGCTTTCTCATACCCTGCAAGTCTTCCAGGGAAAGTGCTTTCTTAGAGCTCTAATACCTGCAGGATAACCTGTATCCCACCAGCAAGGATGGGTCCTCTGGGCTGTTTTCTGACACCAACCAATTCTCTCACACCACTTGAGGGTTCAACAATTCAATTCAATTCTTACACTAATTACCTGGAGTTAGCACAGACCCCACAGTGTTAGGACTCAGTCCCATGAGACTGCCCCCTATTCAGATGCCAGTAACAAGGCCACCATATTTCTGACCAACTGACTATAAATTGGGTGTTCTGTCTTCAGGTTCCATAATTTGCTAGAATGGATCACCAATCTCAGGAAAACACTTTAGTTATGCTTATCAGTTTATTATAAAGGATACTACTCAGGAATAGCCAATGGAAGAAATGCACAGGGCAAACTATGGGGTGGAGATAGGGGGTGAAAACTTGGTGCCCTCTCCGTCCACACCACCCTCCCAGAACCGTGTTCACTAACCTGGAAGTCTCTAAACTCATTCAAGAATTTTTTTTTTTTTTTTTTTGTCTTTTTGTCTTTTTCCGTGTCTGGCAACGGATCGCAACCCTCAGTGTTGTTCCCGTGCCTCGCTCAGCCAGTGAGCGAGCACCGGTCCACATGTGGGATCCGAACCCTCGGGCGGGAGCGCCACCGTGCTTCCCAAGCGGCGCACTATCCAGTGCACCACCGGGCCGGCCCTCATTCAAGAATTTTTATAACCCAATCTCCAGCCCCCCCACTTCCCTACCTGGAGTCAGTGAGTAGGGCTGAAAGTTCCTACCCTCTGTCATTTGATCTTTCTGGTGATCAGCCCCATACTGAGGCTATCTTGGGGCTCTACCCTAAGTCATCTCATTAGCGTAAACTCAAGTGTGATCAAAAGGGGCTCGCTATGGATAAGACATTCCTATCACTCAGGAAATTCCAAGGGTTTTAGGAGCTCTGCACTGGGAACTGGGGACAAAGATCAAATATATTTATTACGACCACAGAACCAAAGGTACTTTTTATCATAATGAATCATCCTAACAGGCTCAATGTCAGAGCCACAGAACAAGTGTCAAATTATCCAGTTGCAGCATAAGTCATGACCTCACAATGGGAGCCTTCATGTGGGAATCTCCAATGACACCAGTCTGACATACATCTCCTCTGGAGCCCAGGGGACAGATAAATACAATCTGCTTTAGGATAACAGCTGTCCCAGGAGATGTGTGTGGTCCCCCTTACCCCCGCCCTTATATTTTCATCATTTCAAACGATTTCTTACCTTGCCTCTCAACAGGCCACTTGGGCCCAAGACCTTATTGAAAATGTGTTTTCCCACATGAGCATCCACTGCAGACAAGGGGTCATCTAGAATATAGATGTCTGAATTTTGATAGACAGCTCTGGCCAGGCTGATCCTCTGCTTCTGACCCCCACTGAGATTTATACCCTGAAGAAGAAAATAATTTCTATGAAGCACTACTTCCTAGTCCTACCTTCACAGTGTCAAATAAAGAAAGAATTAAATAAATAAATAAAATTAAATAAATAAATAAAGGGAAGAAATTGGCCTCAATAAGGTATCAAGACTTAAAAATCTTACAAGTTCCGGGCCGGCCCGGTGGCGCACTGCTACAGTGCGCCGCTTGGGAGTGTGGCGGCTCTCCCGCTGAGGGTTCGGATCCCACATACAGACC